CGCTGCCCACTCAACCGCCATGCCTGACTCTGCCCGAGCTTCCTTGATGCGGCACTACCCCCACTGGGGCCTTCCAGATGCAGCGCCTAACAAGGTGATGAAGATGGTGCCTGCCATAGCCAGGTAAGAACCCCACCACTCTCCTCCTTGGTCCCCTTCTTCCTCCTCCTCCTACCAGTAGAGCTCCACCATAGCCAAGGTGGAAGCTCCCGGCTTCTTCCCCCCCGCAGCGCTGTAGTACCCAGCGCTACTCCAGCCAGCGCTCCAGCAGCGTGTCGCCAAACTTGCACACTGAAGAATGAGGTTGGGCTCTCCGCCCGGCCTCTTGATATAGCGGCCTACTTGCCTCCTGGGCGGTGACTTTCAGGCCGCTCGGCCTCCCCAAGCAACCGGTACTTCCTCCGTTTCGGAGGGAAACATCATTGCAGACCCTGATATTGCCCGTACTGGCTCTAGACTCAGACTGGTTGGACTGGTACCGGCCTAGACCTACCCTACCGCTACGCGGTCCTTGCGCAAAAGGAGGGGCCCAAGTTGAGACCTAACGAGTACATGAGCAAAAAGATGTCGTCTAATAAACTAGCTAGGTCTACCTACGAGCGTGAGCTCTATGCTCTTTACCAAGCGCTGGTTCACTCGAGACACTATCTCCTTGGCAGATTCTTTTATGTGAGATCTGACCATGAGACCCTGCGCTGGATCAAAACGCAACTGGTACTCTCGAACACACTCACTCAGACAGGCGCGCACGCACACAGACTTAGAAAACACAGCAGAATGGGGGAATCTCAGCAAGGCATCCATTCCATGAGCAAAACTTCAGAAATCAGCAGTGTCCTTAGTCTGTGTTATAACGGGTCATTACAAGAAGTAAGAAAGACGAAGAAGAAGATGTACACCAGCAAAGACAATGACAAGGCTCTTCTTCTTCGCCCAACAATCTCCTCCTCCTTATCTCCTCCTTCTCTTATTCATACAAGAAATAATAATACAATGTTGAATGACTGGTCCAAAATCAATGTCCGAGTCCCTCTTCTACTGCAAGTATCACTCAAGGTCCACCATAGCCATGGCCGCCTCTCCCACTCTTCACTCTCATAGGCCGAGGCTATGGCGGACTACTAGGCCTTGCCCAGACGTCCAAAGGACAACCCAAAGCAGCTATGSCTGCTCTAGCTCAGGCYGCCATGYCCAMCCCTGCCTTGAAGYTTCTTGGTGTGGCTCTCCCCGGTTGGGGACTTCTTGCTGCAGCGCCCACCAAGGTGATGAAGATGGCTGCCACCATAGCCAGGTAAGTACCCCTGGCGCTCCTCCCCCTTCCTTCCTCCTTCCTCCTTCTTCCTCCCTCATGTCCTTCTCCTTCCTCCCCAGCAGCGCTGCTCCAGCTTAGCGCTGCTCCAGCCAGCGCTCCACCAGTGTGTCGCCAAACTTGCACACGGAAAAAGAGGCCGGGTCTTCCGCCCGGCCTGAAGATATAGCGGCCTGCTTTGCCTCTTGGGTGGTGATTTCCAGGCCGCTGGCCTTCCCAAGCAACCGGTACCTCCTCTTTTGGAGGGAAACATCGTTGCAGACTCTGATATTGCCCCTACAGGCCCTAGACGCAGACTGGTACCCGCTAGACCTAGCCTACACTACCGGCCTCTAAAAATGCCACTTTTGTCTTCTTCTGCTCGGCCTCCGGTACCTGCATATTTACCCCCCTGCCGGGTGTGGTACTGGCCTACCCGCTACTTAAGTGTTTTTTCCCCGCTACAGCCCTTCAAAGCCACGACCACAGGTAAGTACCGGCCTTGAGGGCCCAACGAACGAACAAGTGCCCTGGCGGGCCACACACACACACTCATACCAACCAGCACACAGACAGGCACAGGCACACGCACGCAAGCCAACCAGCACTCAGACAGACATGCAGTCCAGCAAGCACACACACACACAGACTTAGCAGGCAGGAACTCAGTAGGGCATTCAGTCTATGAGCAAAACTCATAAATCAGCTGTGTGTTTCAGTCCATGTTTGGACGGGTTATCACACTACCCCCCCCTCAAGAGCGAGGTCCCTTCGAGCAAGTAACTCATTCTGAGTCCTCGACAAATGCATCGTAGGCGAGCAAGACAAAGAGATTCCTATAATACTCTGTCGTAGTGAGCCTTGTTGAGATCTTTGGTGCGACGTTAGCAGCGATTTGGCGCTCGTAGGCTTTAACAACGCGCGGTGCGCTGCGTAGCAGCTCCTGTTTGGAGATCCAGTACAGATCGTCTAACGGGTGATACATAAAATGAACCTGGTACTGTCTGTTTCTCCCCTTACCTACATGCTGTTTGATTCTATCTATCTCATGCCCGCCCTTGATTGCGCGAGGGATCATATCTTCGCGGTAGTCGAATGTCTTGGCATCACGGTGGAGATACAATTTAGATGCATGGAACACGAGATATGTGCGCAGGTGAGCTGGCACGTCTACAACGTACGAAGGGCCAAAGTCATCTTCACCAATCACATCCAAAACTTCCCAAGGCCCATAATAGAGAGGGATGAGTTTGCGTGAGACTCCCTCTTCTTCTGAGAATTCAGACATCTTGACCCAGACATAGCTTCCTACCTCAATATCTGACGGTCTGCGCTTCTTGTTTGCATGATGGATCATAGCATGTTGTCGCTTGGTCATAGCTGCAATGGCAACTTTGAGCAAGCGATCATACTTGGCCCTGAAGCCAGGCGCCAGGTGTTAAACCAGCTGGCTGCTCAAGGAATAGGCAAGAGAGCGGATTCTAGATCTGCCAACCGTAATGCAGCCTGGGGTGTCATGTCGGTGGCGACGTGGACGGAGTTGTTGTATAACCCCTTAACGGAATACAACTCTTCATCCCATGTTTCCTGATTTGGGCTAATCAAAGCGCGAAGTAGTTGGAACATAGTCTGGTTGATCTCCTCAGCCAAACCGTCGGCTTCAGGGTGTCGGCCAGATGTCATACACAGTTTGATCCCCAGTTGAGACGTGAAGTCCTTCCACTCAGTACTAATGAAGCGCGGATCCCAATCGCTCACAAGAGTCTTCGGGGTTCCGAACTGCAGAATGTACTTCTGTTGGAATTCACGAATCACTAGTTCTGTTGGGGCATGAGGTGGCAAAGGGCTCAGATTGAGGAACTAAGAGAATCGGTCAACAATCACCATGACCTGTGAGTAGCCGTTCTTACTTACCTTTCCCATGTCGGTGAAATCGATGGAGACAGACTCCCCGGGACCATCGGGAATGGGTAGGGGTGTGAGTAGCCCCATCGGCTTTTGTCTCCATGGTTTGATTCGTTGACAGACTTGACATTCAGCCACAAACTTTTCAGCAGTCCCTTTCATGCCAAGCCAATCAAACTGTCTCAGCAAATTTGCATACGTTTTTGCCATGTCGAAGTGTCCGCTCCGGCCATGAGCCAAATCCAAAAAGTGCGCGCGGAGAGGCTTATGGTTGGGCGCACACAAACGGTCGTGGTTCCCGTAGCAACGAAAAATCAGTCCTCCATACTCGTGGAAATCAGGCTGACTACTAGGATCAGCCTGCAGCCGCTCAGGGATGGAACTAAGTTCCGGATCCTTGGTTGTCTTCTCTACGAGCTCCTCCTTCAGTTTCTTCCGGAGGTCGTAGGATTTCACAAGGCAAGTCATGTACTCAGGGTGGCGAGACAATGCGTCAGCGACTCGGTTATAACAACCCTTTTTGTGTCTTAATTCAAAATCAAAGATGTCAATCTCGTGGAACCAGCGAAGCAAGGTAGGGGACATGGTAGTTTGTTGTTTGATCCACTTCAAGGTCTCGTGATCTGAGAAGACTTTGAAGTGGCGCCCCAAAATATAATGTTCCCAGTGATCCAACGCCATACGCAAAGCATAGAGTTCACGCATGTAGGTGGAAGTGGCTACCTTTACGTTGGGCATCCGTTTGCTGTAGTACTCGAGTGGCCGCAAGCCATTGCCATCATCTTTTTGCAGCACTGCACCGATTCCATACTGACTTGCATCCGTAGTAACTACGAATGTCAGTTTGGGATCTGCAATGCGGAGTACTGGGTAACTTACCAAGGCTTCCTTGAGAGCTTGAAAAGCCTCTGTACACGCGGCATCCCAGGAATAAGGCACGTTTTTACTGGTTAGTCTCGACAATGGACGAGCAATGATAGAAAAACGAGGTACAAACTTCCAATAATACGACGCGAGACCAAGGAAAGAACGCAATTCGCGAATGTTCGGAGGCTGAGGCCAATCGCGTATGACCTCAATCTTGGTTGCCTCAGGCTCTAGGCCTGCAGCAGACAACCGATGCCCAAGATAGATGACGCTATCCTTCCCAAACTCGGATTTCTCCAAGTTGAGATGGAGTTGTGTCTTCTTGAGGATAGCGAGCACCTCCTCAAGATGCTTGAGGTGTTCCTCCATGGACTTGCTGAAGATCAGAATATCATCCAGGTACACTACCACAAACCGGCCAATCTGTTCGCGGAGGACCTTGTCCATGAGGCTTTGGAAAGTGGCTCGTGCGTTCGTGAGACCGAAGGGCATTACGGTGAACTCATAAAGCCCGTCGTGTGTTTTGAACGCAGTCTTGTGCTGGTCCACAGGATCGACTTCAATCTGGTGGTAGCCAGACTTGAGATCGATCTTGGAGAAGACCTTGCACCCGCTTGCGGCGTCAAGCAGGTCATCTATGCGGGGCAAAGGGTAGGCGTTCTTTCTTATGATGCGGTTTAGACCGCGGTAATTAATGCACATGCGGAGTTTGCCTCCCTTTTTAGGCACAAACAAAACAGGAGCACCAAATTCTGATTCACTATGCTTGATCCACCCCTTATCAATCATTTCATCGCTCTGCCGCCGGAGTTCCTCCAACTCGCCGGGTCTCATTCGATACACGCAGCCTTTTGGAGGAACAGCACCTTCAACCAACTCGATGGTGTGTCGGACCGGTCGCGTGGGGACTCCACGTGGCTCGGCCAGAACTTCCAGAAACCGATCGAGGAGGGTTTGGATGTCTGGTGGGACAGGTGGGGTTGGGGGATCAGCAAAGGGATCGCCTAGATCCGGTCGCAGGTCGCGCATAGAGACGACCGAATCTGAAGTAGGATCATTTGGACTATTAGAGGGTAGAGAGATAGAGGTGCTAGAAGTAGAAGTACTAGAAGTAGGATCATTAATCGAAGTAGTAGTGATATTAGCCGCAAAAGTAGATGGCACATGGGTAGGACGAACAAAGGCAACATACAATCGTTCTTCCTCCTTGTGCTTGCGCCATTTCTTGCAGAACTGCATAGCATTCAGAAAGGTCGTTGGGAACTCGTGCTTCTCATCCAAGAGGACAGGAAGCTCGTCCCCTGAGCATCTTTGACCATGAAGAGTGACTTCTTCCACTTGGTCCATGCGCATTGGGACTGCAGTCAGCCCAAGCCAAGGACAGTTTTGAAGGAGCACTTTTCAAGGACAAAGAAGTTCAATGCGTGGGTGACAGTCTTGCCTTTGTCAAAGGTAGTGCGCACACCTTTGACTGCATGCGTGGAAGAGACAACTTCCTTGTTGCCAACTTGGGTTTGACAAGGGTTCTGCAAGGCCACTTGCTTCATCCCCAAGCCCACCTTGCGTATCCCGTGTGGTGACATTAAATTAGTCGTAGCACCACAGTCAACCAGAACACGGAGATAGCGGTGGTTTATGAGGAGTTTGAAGAAAATCAACTTTACCGTCCCTTCGGAACGTTGCTGTTTCATCTCAGCCCAATGCTCCAAGTGGTAGTGAAAGTCGACTGCCCCAGACTCCTCCTAAGGCTCGTCATACAAAGCATTGCTTACCTTAGCCTCGTCTTCAGCAGATGGTTGGGCCTCAATGGAGGGCTGCTGATTTTCAACGGAACCAGACTCCCCTGTTGTAGAGTTTATTGAAACTGACTCTACGCCCGATTCTAGTTTCCCTGCAGCCTATAACAGTCTTGAACCTTATGGTTTGGTTTTTGGCAGTGCAGGCAAACCCCTTTCTTGAGTCTGCCCCGCCAATCATTCTCAGTGATCCGGAGGTCAACCCAAGGTTTGGTAGACGCGTCCTCCGGTTTAGGCGGGATCTTGACTCCCTTGGGAAGTTGGACATAATTCTTCCCGGCACTCCGATTCGGTCCCTTGGTGCTGGCAGTCTTTTTAAAGGCAGAAAAATTTTCCTCTTCTTTATTTGCATCGGACTCATGGGCTGAAGAACAAGTTGTATCGGAGTCTTGTTCTTGGTCGTCACCAAGAGTGGGGTCATCCGCATCGGCTTCTTCTTCGGCCTCCAGCAGGTCCTGCACAGCAAAACGGTTGCTGCCCTTGAACCGTCTGTCGCCCATGGGCTTTTTGCTGTCTGTCGTGCTAACGAGGTCTATAGCCTCCAAACTGACGATGTCCTTCATTAGGATAAGCCAGTCAGTGTATGCAATGTAATCCCTGCCCAGGCGATTAGTGAAGTTAGTTGGAACCGCGCCCTTAACCACATCTAAGCAAGACTGAGCAGTCAATTCCAAACCAGGTGTAGCAAACATCTTGCTTAGATAGGTCTGTAGGCTTTTCATGGAGCCCGTCCACTTGTTGTGCTTGACCTTGTCAAGTTGGATTCTTGCCCTAGCCGCAGCATGTGGATCCTGATATTGTGAGATAAGGAGATCCTCGAGGGAGGCAACCGGGGTGGTCCTAAGCCATTTGGCTAGTGCAGTCTTTTGGAACCTAGCCCGTGTCGCTTGGACTTCTAGGAAGCCCCGTACGACCGGCTCGACATTCATTCCCATGATCACTGCCTGGGTCTCAGGTTGAGTCCCCAGATTCTCAAAGTATGCCCTCATGGAACCGATCCAGGACTCGATGTCTTCCTTGCCGTCATACTTAGTCGGCATTTGTACCGCCTTTCGGTCCACATAGGGACCAGCGTAGCTGGGACCAGCAACAGCTGGTTCCGGTCTTGGGGCTGCAGCAGTTGCAGAATTCCCTGCCTCACTGCTGATCACAACAACAGCGGAATCTGCATTTGTCGAAGGTCCCGAGGGGGTTGCCATCACACTCAAAGAAGAGGTAGAAGCAGATACGGTGAGAGGGGCAGAGGTAGTTTCAATTGCAGCTTCAGATCTAGGGGGTAGAGGAAGAGGGTTGGACACTTGTGCTTGTCTCAGCTCAGCCACCTCCTTTGTCAATTCATGGTACTTGCGGATCATATCGGTCAGATTATCTTGAAGTGTCTGCAACTTGGCAAAGACTTCAGCGATCTGAGTGGTATGATCCTCAAGACTCCTGACTTGAACAAGGGCTGTGAGTATGGACTGCAACTGTTCCCCACACTGTTCTTCAGTCAGTGAGGGAGCAATCTCTAGGATAGCCACTTGCCTTTTTAACAAGGTCTCCTTCCTCTCCGTCTCTGCCTCCTGTTCCCTTTTAATTGCATTATCTAAAAGTGCTTGTAGATATGGTTTCTCGGCATCACTGGCTGCATCTAACAAGGCCCGCCATTGCACTGAAGTTAGCTGAGCCATTTTTGGACTGTCAATATGGACAGGTGGGTCAGAGAGTCGCCAGTCAGCAAAAGAATCAATTAGACTCTCAAGAGGTTCACTCCCCTTCTCACTTGGATGAACACTCCTTTTCCCAGTCCTTGCCCACTTCAGACGGTCACTTTCCCTCTCTCCCTTTTCTCTCTCTCTCCTCTCCCTCTCTTCGTTCTGATTGCGAGTCTCCACGGGCATCGGAAATGAACTCAGAAAGACAAACTTGAAAGCTCAGAGAAGAGAAGATAGAACTCCTAGCCGGAGCGACATTTCATTTGGAAGTAGAGAGCAGCAGACGAAAGAAAAACAAACAAATTCAAACGAGAGGTCTGATCCAGCGACCCAGTCTGATCAGACTGCATACGAGGTCCTCTCGAGTCCAGTCTGACCAGCTCCGTGACCGTACAACAAATCAGACAACGAGTAACTACATGCAACAATGGAGAATTGAGTGGTGTACAGGGTGCGAGTCAAGCCACGGACAGTGCAATCAGAAGACATGCGAAACGTCTCAGCCAAGATCCCCTTGGCAGTGGGTGTCCTAATCCAAGAAGAATGAACTCGTATCCCAGCCAAGAAGACAAGAGGTCAATGCCTAACTGATTTGGGTCCAGAGGCTCTTCTTGTTTGGGCCCGGTCGCGCTAGGTCCCAAGGGTCCCACGTAGGTCTCAACCAGGTCCCAACCAAGAGGAGTTCCACATGAGCTTAGTTCAGTGTCTACTGCACTGAAAAATGAAATTTCAACTTCTAGCAGAACCTACAGACTACAACCGTTCAAAGATGAAAAGACAAAGCATTGTAGAAAGACTCGGCATTTAGATCAAGATACTTCATTTTCCATCCATCAGGTGAGTAGGTAGATCACATGCATTCAGTCACACAATCAAGACCACAGAGTAGGAAAAGAAACCCAGAGTACCCCAACGGGACAATCAATACCATACACACATACATGGGCATCCCGTAGGTGCACGACACTTACCTGAGTGGCCTTGAGCTTCGAGATGAAGAGAACTCACCCCCCTTCTCATGTGGTCCTCCTGACCCCTCTAACGCTACCCCTACACTAGTGTCCTATCTCCTAGGAGGGTCTGACTCCAACACCCAAGTGCAACGCCAGATCGCCCGTCGATGCTGAAGATCAAAGTAGCAACTTGCAGTCCGTTGACGCAGAGTGGCCGCTGACCCTCAAGCTCGCCTACTTGAGGGCAGTCCTTAAGTTGCCAAGTGTCTCCCTTGAATCAGATTCCAGGTGCGAGTGCCTCTCACTGTCGCCTATCTCAAATCGCCACATGAAGTCTCCTCGAAGTGTCTCGCCACCCTAATCTCACTCTCAAGCAACCTGGTTAGGTTCTATGTTGACCCCACATGACCTAACCAGGTGGGGGCAGCTTCCCTCAACCACACTGCCCCACTTCCCTTCTCCAACCAGCCCTAACCCTAAGTGTTCCCCTCAACCACTTAGGTTAGGGTTAGGGCAGCAAGTCAACTCTCACCAGCAAGTAGAATCCGCTCTGATACCAATGTTATGACCCTGGTCAATTTCGAGATACACATCACCGGAAAGTACAATGCCATCCAATTGCAGAAAGAAATGAATGAACTTGAGAGGAGAGAGAGGATTAGAAGAAGAAGAAGAAGACGTACACCAGCAAAGACAATGACAAGGCTCTTCTTCTTCGACCAACAATCTCCTCCTCCTTATCTCCCCCTTCTCTTATTCATACAAGAAATAATAATACAACGTTGAATGAATGGTCCAGAATCAATGTCTGAGTCCCTCTTCTACTGCAGGTATCACTCAAGGTCCACCATAGCCATGGCCGCCTCTCCCACTCTTCACTCTCATAGGCCGAGGCTATGGCGGACTACTAGGCCTTGCCCAGACGTCCAAAGGACAACCCAAAGCAGCTATGCCTGCTCTAGCTCAGGCCGCCATGCCCACCCCTGCCTTGAAGTTTCTTGGTGTGGCTCTCCCCGGCTGGGGACTTCTTGCTGCAGCGCCCACCAAGGTGATGAAGATGGCTGCCACCATAGCCAGGTAAGTACCCCTGGCGCTCCTCCCCCTTCCTTCCTCCTTCCTCCTTCTTCCTCCCTCATGTCCTTCTCCTTCCTCCCCAGCAGCGCTGCTCCAGCCAGCGCTCCACCAGTGTGTCACCAAACTTGCACACCGAAAAAGAGCTCGGGTCTTCCGCCCGGCCTGAAGATATAGCGGCCTGCTTTGCCTATTGGGCGGTGACTTCCAGGCTGCTGGCCTTCCCAAGCAACCGGTACCTCCTCCTCTTTTGGAGGGAAACATCATTGCAGACTCTGATATTGCCCCTACAGGCCGTAGATGCAGACTGGTACCCGCTAGACCTAGCCTACACTACTGGCCTCTAAAATGCCACTTTTGTCTTCTTCTGCTCGGCCTCCGGT